TATAATGACATGATAATATCAGGAGTAAGATAATATAGAAGAAGTATGACACTCCAAAACACGAGAAATTCAACATTTGCTTGCCTAATTTTACCAATGAAATATTACGTGCAACTCGATAAAAATTACATCTAAATTAGCGTTGGACATCCACCGCACACTCAAACTTTACTTTGTTTCCATACCTCTTCTTTTTATGGTGATATAGCTTTGAACGTCACACATGGTTCATAGCGTTTTACTGTGGTGGTGGTTCAGGTTGCCTGGGCTTGTTTCAAACAGTGGCTAACCTGTGAGGATTGGTCTTGTCTGTTGACAAGAATGCCACCTGTTGGCGGCAGGAGTAAGATAATAAAGGATATTATATAATATAGGATAATATAGTATATGCGTGTATATATACAGTGTGTATATATGTGTGTATATATAGGATAATATATATAGTGTGTATGATATAATATAGGATATAATATAGGATCCTATATTATCTTACTCCTGCCACCAACAGGGGGCATTCTTGTCAACAGACAAGACCATTCCTCACAGGCTAGCCACTGTTTGAATAGGTGTTAAGAAGTGCGCCAAAATTTTGGAAGGGCAGGGCTTAGAAAATGGGGATTCAAGTCTACAGCAACGAGCGTGCGACTTCTACACATTGTGTGAGATGAATTTTCCTGTTGAACTGTCTACACATGCTCTACGCACAATGCACGAAAAAAAACGAAACGCAGTGAAGGTATTACCTTTAACCGAGCATGTCGTGAAGATGTCAGAGTACCTCAAGGCTTAAGTACATGAACATTTGGGAATTCTGACTGGTAGCAAAGATTTGGGAACTCTGACTGGTAGCGAAGATAGCAGCAAACCAGCCGCATGGGATCGCTTGAACGCAGCAGTGTTGGCAAGCATTATTCTGTTCAACCGTAGACCCCAAGAGAAGGTATCCAAAATCACCCTAAAAGATTATAACAAGAAGAGGAAACCAAATGTCGACAAGATCGTTCCGGATGGCCTGTCAAAGATGAAACAAGCCTTATGCAGGTCCTTCCACAGACTGAAGTCAGAGGAAAACGGGGAAACACTGTACCTGTACTTCTTAATAAAGACACGAAGATAGCCATCGATTGTTTAATCAAGAATAGAGAAATGGCGGGAGTGAACCCAAATAACATCTACCTCTTCGCAAGATCGCATTACGCAGGAATTGGACATTTGCAGGGGTGCGATGTTCTCCGAGAACTATCGAAAGCCAGCGAAGCAGCCCAGCCAGAGAACATCAGGTCAACTAGACTCAGAAAACAGATTGCGACAATATCTCAGATTGTGAACCTGAAAAAGAATGAATTAGATGTATTGGCAAATTTCATGGGGCATGACATGTGTACACCGAGAATACTACAGATTACCACAGGAGACTCTCCAAGTAGCAAAAATCAAAGCTACTCCTGGCATCTGAACAGGGTCAGACACAACTTGTAGGAAAATCCCTGGATCAAATTTGAATTCAGCGTCGAGACGGGTATGTACATAGCATTTTACAAGGTCACAAACTACAAATACAGAACATGCGCAGATATCATATTTACATATTTTCTATATTCTCACATGCTGATTTGTTTAAGCTGCAAAATATTAGAATCTATTTGCTTTCTTGTTTTGTGTTGGTATTCACTGTATAGATGTTTGTGTTGGGTGATCTATGGGGAAAATATTGCTATGTAAGTTTTATTAACCACTATGTGCATGTTCAAATGCTAATTAATGTCAATGTTTGTTTATCCGAAGTCGAAGGCGAGGATGAAGAGGGCAACAAGAGCAGTGACGAGATTGTCGATGGGAATATCAATTTAAAATGCTATTTTAATTTAGGTATGCCCAGACATTTGAATTGTTTACCATTGTTCAAAACTCACAAGCCTTTAAACACAGTCACTGATAACGTAATTAAGATAATTCATAAACTCTCACTCAATTATGCTTACTGTTACTTACTGCTGTTATTTTACTGGTTTGGCAAATAACGCAGATGGTACTGACAATACGGCCGTTCCGGAAGAGATTTCTGCTGCGGCACATTCAGGTATGTACCATATATTCATATCCAAATCCAAAGAGAGAGAAGAGAGAGAGGCACATTCAGAGTTTAGGAGACTTTTGTATGTGTCATTGCTACTTGCAACTGGTTGTCCCTCGATGTTCTCTCGCTCGCTTCTTTCAGTGGTCTGTTTAATCGGTGGTGGACTGGTCTTTTGACTTTCTGCCTTTTGATTATGTTTAGTGAATAAATTGACTACATTGCAATCTGTTCATTTAACATACGATCACAGCCACCAGTCGGAAGGGCAACAGAAACAGTGGTCAGAAGAGGAAAAGACCGCTGTCCTGAAGCACTTCCGACATCTGGTCGACCTGCGGCGTTTGCCCCAGAAACGCGACATCGAGAAGGTTCTTGTTCTAGAACCAGTGTTGGCCACAAGAACATGGAAGAATATTAAAGACTTCTGCAGGAACGCCCAGTAAACCACCGATGTGGTTTTGAGATGGTTCTGGCAGAAGATTTTCTAGCCGCTCCCTTCCTCCACCGGAAAACTATTCCCTCTGATATTACTAGGCCATTGTAAAGTGCTTTCAGGGCATTTTGTAATTGGTCAATAACTCGAAAAATATAGTCGGTAGACACCTGAATTTTGTCTAGTAGCTTCCCTGGTTTACGTGGACACTGGCTATGTGGCTGAAATGTTTAAAAAGCTACAAAATCTGTGTTTACATATCAATATTGAAGTCTCTCGAACTGATACTGGAAATAGTTATTGGGTCCGTGCAAAGTACCGGTACATTAAACGTGTGGGACACCAGTCAATGAATTCCTGCCTCTGTAAAACACACGAGAACATGCAGCTACTCCTTAAGGCAGTCCCACGGCTACCCTTCAGTTCAAGCCCTGACGAATTCGTAAAGGAGACAACAGTGGAGCAGGCTCAAGTAATTCTGGAAGAGCAGATGACTACACCTACCATCACCTACTGGGAATGGGGCCAGGCTGAAGTAACGTACGGCAATGTAATCAAGAAGAGGATTAAACGGATTCAGTATTCACTAGAAAAGCCCGAGTTCGTTACAAAATTCATCAACCAGATGACTCTGTTCAAGGCACACGCCGCCCGCATCATCGCACAATAAAAGGCAGTTCACACCCTGAAGAATAACCTCCCATATGTTGCAGTGTTCGGTAAATCAAAGAAAGACCATGACCGGAACCTACACAACCTCATGGAAGTCGCACGAGAACACGGCCTAGTGTTCAACATTGACAAATGTGAGGTCAATAAGCGAAGCATGAAGTTCTTCGGTCTCGTGTTTGACCCTGATGGAGTCCACCCAGACCCGGACAAAGTCAGAGACATCAGGAATCTAGCGGTGCCCAGTGACCCCAAGCAGTTGCAGGAATTCCTGGGCATCGTCATATACATGTCTCCGTTCATCCCGAACCTATCGCAAGTGACTGCACCTCTGCGAGAGCTCATGAAAAGAGGAACAGAGTTCCAGTGGTCCCCGTCACATCAGATCGCTTTTGAGAAAATAATCGAGCTGATCTGCCGAGAGGTCACCCTCAGCTACTTTGACCCAAAGCAAGAGTCTTTACTGCAGGTCGATGCATCCAGCAAGGGCCTCGGCGCCGTATTACTACAACACGACAGATCAGTGGCATTTGCGTCAGTCATTGAGTGACTGCGAGCAGAGATACGCCAACATTGAACGCGAGCTACTAGCCGTGGTATTTGGGTGTGAGAAATCCCACACATACTTGTACGGCAAGCACTTCACAGTCGAGTCGGACCACAAGCCGCTTGAAATGATCCACTTGAAAAACTTGGCAGCTGCACCGCAGCGACTGCAACGCATGTTGCTACGCATTCAACCGTACGACATCACAATCCGATACCGGCCAGGAAGAGAGGTGCTGATAGCTGACGCACTCTCCAGATCACCTGGGAATGACAGCGCTACGATCGACCTGGCCATAAGAGTGGACTACGCACAGTGGTCGACCCAGAACTGCCAAATACTGCGCGACAGCACACGCAGCGACGCAGAGCTTAGTGCGTTAATAAATATTGTCGTCACAGGGTGGCCGGAAAGGCAGAAACTGCTTCCGCTACCGCTGCGTCCATATTAGTCATACAGGGACGAGCTCATCGTAGACGATGGTGTCATCATGAAAGGTGATCGTATCATAGTTCCAGCAAACATGCGGATGGACATTCTGGCTCGGCTACATGAGTCGCACCAAGGTATCGAGAAAACGAAGTTGAGAGCGCGAACATGTGTGTATTGGAACAATATAAACTCGGATATAGAGAACCTGGTCCGAAAGTGCAGCATATGCCAGCAAGCTCAGAGGACGCAGAGTCACGAGCCGCTGCTGCAGCATGAGCTTCCAACCAGGCCCTGGCAAGTCCTGGGTACGGATCTATTCTACCTGGCAGGTGATGAATACCTAATGATCAGTGATTACTACTCAGAGTTCCCCTTCGTCAAGAAAATTGGCAGCAGAGCCACGAGGCAGGCCATTGTGAACATAACTAAGAGTATCTTCGCTGAACAAGGAGTACCTGAGACCGTAATAAGCGATAACGGTCCACAGTTCGATGGTCAAGCTTACAAGGTTTTCGCCGAGAAGTGGGGTTTTGACCATGTAACAGCGAGCCCTCATTACCCGCAGTCAAACGAGCTGATACTGAGCGCCAGGTACAGACCGTCAAACAGGTCCTGACTAAAGCAGAGCAGCAGGAATTGACGTAGACATGGCAATGTTAGTGCTCAGGTCTACACCGATAGACCATCACCTCCCGTCACCAGCTGAACTGTTGAACGTGAGGAGAGCAAACTGCCTTCCATACGCGTCGTCCAATACCCGGGAGCTCGGGTTAATGAAAGCCCTGTGGTCTATGTTGACTACATGTATATATGATATGACTGTGTTGTGTACTTACAGGTGACATATGTACATTTGTGGCGCTGTTGATGGAAACTCCCGCCTGATCACCTTTCTAGATATCACATGTGAGAATTCAGCAAGGAACAACTGTGTTTTCTTCTTATGTGGTGTTCAACAATATGGATTGCCATCAAGAGTCAGAGTGGATGATGGAGGTGAATACATGGAAGTAAGGCGCTATATGGAAAGAGAAATGGGACAAGGCAGAGGTAGCGTAATTGTGGGGACTTCTGTCCACAATCAGAGGATTGAAAGGATGTGGAGAGACGTGTATGCAAAGGTGTTGGCGATTTATTACAGACTCTTTTACCACTTGGAAGATCATGGCATTTTGGACTTGTCATCTAACATTCATTTATTTGCACTTCATTATGTGTTTGTACAAAGAATACAGCAGGACTTGTCCAGGTGGGCTGCAGCTCACAATAATCATGGCCTAAGAACTGAGCACCATCAGACACCCATGCAACTGTGGATGTCTGGCATTATCCAGCAATCGCAATCCAGTTCTACTGCCATCAGAAATGCACTCAGTTTTAATATTGATGCCGAGGTTGTTAGGGAGCATCACAGTTTGGATTGGGAAGAACAATCAACAAGGCTAAATGTCCCGATCAGCCACATTCATGACCCATTACCAGAAGAGAGACTGATCGAGATGAGCCAGCAAATTAATGTGATGGCAGAGTGTGAGGATTATGGATTGGGATTTTATGGACGAGTTGTGCAGTTTATCACTACACACAGTGTTTAAAAATGATTTTCTGTTGTGAAATTTTGTTTACATCATCTAGGCCCCTAGTTGGTATAACCAATCAGATAAAACTTTTTTTCAGAAAAAAAATTAAATTCAGGGTATAGACAATTGAAAACCTCATTAAACAAAATTTCCAGTATTGAGCGAAGAGTTGTCCTTTATTTTCAGTAGGTATTTACTTGCAAATAGACCATATTTTTCTGCCAATTTTTCAGATGGATTCTAATTTGGTATATCATCATTTTTTGGTATATCTGTAGACCTCCTCGTGTTGACATCAAAATTAATCTATCTTACTGATACTAGCAACATATACCAAGCATGTCTATTGTCTGTGTAATTCTGGAGATATTATTGAGCAGACAATAATTCTGGAGATATTATTGAAGCTCAAATTCATACATGATATATAGTGAAAACCAGAAAGTATTATGCCTTTTTTTATTGGGTTTTAAAGTTAAGGAACCCAAAGTGAAACTGGACCAAGGTGTTTTCTCACTTTACAAGAACAATTAGTCTGCACTAAAACATGGTTTCACCAATTCTCTCTCTCAGCAGAATATTATGTTGTAACATGTTGCAATGTGCTTACTGCTATTAAAGCATAAAACTTAAAAATTCATTTTTAACATCCATCACATATGCTATCACACATGTCCATATATAAGATATAATGGTCAGGCATGTTGCAAACAGGCTGCACATTCATACACAAGAACAGTGTACTACAGTAAAACCTTTATAGTGGTCACCCAAAGGACTAGGCAAAATTGGCTGCTATGGGCAGGTGACCACTCTGTGGAGGTCCAGACCAGTAGTTGGACTTATTTCCAAAGTACAAGTACATATACAGTTTATGTAGAGATATGAGCTTGAGCATTTATAAAACCTTATACTATATTGCTTAGAATAAAACTAATTATGTTGTACATGTATAAATATTTGTTTAGAAAAACTATTTCCGCATGTGTAGACAGATACACAGTAATCAAAGAAAATATTTTAAAAACATCATCCGAGATAATATGCAACATAATTGGGTGTCATGTACATAACAAAAATCGTCATGTACATAACGGGAGCAATGTTGCCATCTATTGATAACTTAACACACTACTTGCAAGCCATAAAGCATTGCATAGTAGTTTAACCCAGTGACGATAGATGGCATGACGTGCCTATCACCAAACCAAGTCCAGAATTTGTATTTTCCCGGGTGAAAACTATGTGTTTTCAACTCCTGTAACTTTCTTCAGTATTAAACCATAACTGATGTATAGCATCAATAACATGGTAAGTGTTCGACGCATGTATATGGTTCTGAATCACTGGGGTAGATGTACAGATTCGTTCTGGCACTTTTGCTGGGCAATATTAGTAGTTGTATTGAAGCAGGATCATGATGATGTCATGCCGTTATGGACGTGATGTTTCGTTATGTACGTGATGGTTTTGATGTTTCATGATTTTCCAATTCAGTAATGTACCTGGCGTTGCGTCGCTGTGCTGGGACCACTCGGGGCCTAGCAGAGGGGCTCAATGTGTACCAAATAAACTATTGTCTATTGGTTTTATCCCGAAAAAAATTGTTTTATTATGAATTATAGGCATATTATAATGGTCAATATTTTGGTATTGGTTGGGAATCACAATCAGCCCCTTGGTGGATTTAATTATCCTGTAACATATTCTTACACAGTATTTTATTTTATTTTATTTCCAGTTATAATATAGCATAGCAGAACGATGGAAGCTACTAAAGGGAAACCACTCACAGGGGCAGAACGTGCCCAGAGATGGCGCAGTCGCCACCATTGACCTGAAGATATGAGAAAGATAGCAGATGCCAAGAAGCTACAGTGTTCCACTGCAAATTACACTAAGGAGGCAGAGGCACACTTGATAGCCTTGTCTAGAGCTCGCAGCCAGCGCTACCGGGATAAGTTGAATCTAAAAACAATCAATGAAAGACGCAGGAAGAATCGCCTTCCTCCCCTGAGTAGTGAAGATTTGTGAAAACCAGCAGAAAAACCTACTGCACCTGAGGTTCCACTGGCGCCACGTCCTAAGCACCTGCATGAAACTCGCCGATCCCTACGTAATACCAGTTCACATGACACCACTTCTGAATTTGACGCGTCAAAGGAGGTTGTGGGTCTATCTCAACCTCTTACTGTTGATTTCAAATTCCATGATAAAAAAATCCAACAAAACGCAGCTACGCTAAAGAAGGCTCAACGTGACTTCCTTGACATGCAGCGTAACGTCTGGCGTTTATAGAAGCGATGTACTACGACCGAAGACGACACTTCCAGCTCGTCTAGTGATGAAGGACTTTCTGACAGCACTTTAATAGAGCCAGCGAGTCCAGAAACTGACACTGGACCTCTACATATCAGCACGCCGCAGCCATCGCAGAGTACCAATTACCCAATGCCACCCCAGCAGATCTCGCCAGTTCGTCCAGTTGTATCCAATACCAAGGCAGCAGGACAACCTGCCCCGACCACTAATAGTACTGCTGAGCAGCTGATGCGCGCGGACGGCATCTCACCACGTAAGGCTCCGAAGATATTTAAGCAGTTGCGGTTGGGTGTGGCTGTGCTTGAAGAAGTGAAGCAGTTCACACCCAAAAAAGTCTATTATCGCAAAAGCTCTTATTGCCAGTGATAGACTTAAGAAGAACCGCAGCATTACTGCACTTGGCCGGGGGCTGGCACCGACAACTTGGCGTGCGTACATGTCAAAAGCGCCTCCGCATACAAAAGGCAACTTACTCCAAATTGGAGAACACCGTCCTAGAATTCCTGAAACGACCAGATAACTCTGTTTGCATGCCTGGGAAGAAAGATACCGTGACCATCCACAAGGTTAAGCACCAAATGTATGTCCTTCATTACTACCTACACATTAACCTCTAACTATCGTTGCAATGGTATACTTGCGGTATTTCTTGTGAACAAACATTCGATTTGCGAACTTCAAATGGCCATTTCTGGCGGCGCTGCAGCAGCGCCAGTCAGCGGGAACTATGTATTTCCGCATGTGGAGGGGTGACAGGTTGGGGTGGTTGTGGAAAAAAACATTGTTGTTGTCAAGTAACAAATTAAGCGACCAAAAGAGATTGTAATATCAACCCGCAACCCGCCCACCCCTCCACATGCGGAAATACATAGTTCCCGCTGACTGGCTGGAGTAAGTTGGTCCATTTGCTAGCCACAAGTTCCCATCTCGCTTAACACTACGTGGCGAGAGGCGTGTAACTAGTCGGAGCCTGTACTGTCCTCCGCCGTGTAACTAGTCGGAGAGCCTGGTCGGTTTAGTCCATTGCATGCCCCATGGGTCGGTCTATAGCCCAGCGGCAGTTAATGTAAGCGGCTATAGTACTAGAGTAGAGCTATGTTTGTGCAAGCTCTGTTTTAGTGTTTACCTCTGTTTGCCCAATCTCAAGATTGGTTGCCCAAACTGTGGATGCGCTGAAATTCCAAGTTTGTGCAAGATTCCAAGTTTGGGCACAACATGGATAAATCAATGACAATCACAATGGCAATGCAATGATCAATGCACGTGAAGCCATGCAATGATTATTGAATCTTTTTGAGTTTTGTGACTTACGGTCTTACCTTAGCAAAAACCTACGCAGCACTCAATGAGTCAATGCTCTTTATTTTTTAATATATTTTCTCTCCTTGCCCTACTATCTATCCTTGAATCCTTATCCATGAAATTCCGCTTCATTGCAATGGGATAATTACGAGGTGAGCAATAATAACATCACAGGAAGCGTAAACGGAAATGGTGTCGTAAATTGTTGGTTCCCGTTTTATCACACGCAAATACACCCGCCCGCATACTTACGCGTTTGTAATGCATTCACTCTTATAACTTCACACTGACAACGGTAGTTTAATTAGAAGATGCATGAGCAGTAGTATATGTACCTAACATAACGATAAGGAAATTTTTTTCAGCTTTGTTAATTTTGACGATATTTTCGAGGAACTGCGTCTGAGAACGTTGGCTGTCAATCAAACCCAAAGCATGGCGGCGTCCTTTGCCACGTAAACAAACTTGTTTCATGCAGAGAATATCACCGTATTGAACTTCTATTTTAGCTTGGCGGAAGCTATGTGTGGAATACAGATGAAATAACGAAGTTGTGCTGATTCTTAGCTGGTAAGATCATGTCAGCTGGTGCGCACGGCGAGTCCTTGTACAACTTACAACTATACAACTTACAAATGAAGTACCAGGCCTAGGGGCCACAAGACGAAAGCTAAATTACGTATGAGCCGCATCGCCATCGGTATCGGCATTGACTAGGCGAGCATATTCTCAATAGTACAATACTAAAAATGTGTATGCACGTGTATAGTATGTGTTGTGTAAATATGTGTATTTTTCTGATTATGTCAAAGAAACTGCTTGTGTGGACTGCCAGGTGTTACTCAAGATTAATCTTGTCTTATAGTTAACCCGACCAGGCTGTGTGACTAACGTCAATACACCGATTGACAGTTCTCCGCCTATGTTCTGCGCCAGTAGTTTCGCATCTCCGCGAGAGGCCGGATGTGCGAGTAAACTTCGCCATGTTGTTTATCTCGATGCGTTGTCTACCTTGCATACGCAGGTCGCTCACCTTTGTGTCGAAGAACAGTGCACGTAGAAGGGAATAGAGCACCGATAATGGATGACCTAGTCACATGACACTTGATACATTTAAATTATGGTCAATTCATGCTCTAAAAGTCTTTCTTAAGCCAATACGATCCGTTTGAACAGCCCTTCACACTACACGTTTCACACGAGTAAAGAATTTTACTCGCAATTCTGGGACAGAAACTTCTCCCGACCTTTGACCTTAGGCTTAAGCGCATGCGCAGTGTTAAACTGTCAGCGGGTTTATATACATTACGTCAATACACAGACGTCATATACGTCTATACGTCTATACAACATACGTCATATACATACGTCAATAGGTATTCTAACCCTGGCAATATTATAAAATACCGTTTCTTGGAGCTAACTCTTAGTATCGCTCATGGGGTTTATGTCCCCCAGGGTACTGCCGGAATGTACCCTGGGTTCGGTCCGGTATATACCGGAACGTACCTAGCTGGTACTAGCTGATATGGTTAGAGTTAGGGTTAGGGTTAGGGAGTATAGGCGTAGGTGACTCCCTAGACTCGTTAGTGGAGTAGGCGAGGTATACGGTCTGGCATATTAGATAGTAGTATTTAGTACCAGGGTACGTTCTGGTATACCGGACCGTACCCAGGGTACGTTCTGGCAGTACCCTGGGGGACATAGACCCTATCAGCCAATTAGTATCCTACTAGTACTAGTACTAAGTCTCGGTGTAGATCGACCATAGTCACGCTCTCGGTGTAGACCACGGTACAGTATTATGAGTATAGTCATTAGACATTAGTCAACGCAGTCAATAAAGTTTAACTTTAGTTTTTAGACATTGAATTACACCAGTTTGTCTCTTGCTTCTTTGTACGTCATGGGGAGGATTGACTCTCGGACGTATTCACCTATTATGTTCGGCTGTTTTGGCAGCAGTGGACCCATTGTCGCGCACATCGAGACCAACGTGGAACGGCAACAGCATGTCTGCTCCGCCGTCTGTGACGCGCACGATCGCGCTCTGCTCCATTGCTAACCTCATCAATGCTGCCGATCGCATCATCATGCCCATAGCCATCGTACCGATGACGGACGAATTCAAGTGGAACTTACACTGGCAGGGCTGGATACTCAGTTCATTTGCGTTCGGCTACATATCTAGTCAGGTTAGTTTATGCACGTCAAATTTTGCTATAGACATGCAACAAGAGAGATTGTATGTGCAATTTGTTGTAAAAAAAATTTTCAGCTATTTTGATTGAGGTTTTTTTCACACAGCTTTGTTAGTTTATGTGTAAACTTAAAAACAAATAGAACTTAGATGAACATTAAAAATTTGGCCATCAATGAGTTTTAGAGCATGCACCTGGTTCAGAGGGTATTTGTAGATCTATGAGCAACAATACAATCCTAGATAGATAAAGAAATAGTTTGTTGTACGCATAACTGAAACATGCCAGCTATCGATAAGGAAGTTTCTAGATTCATATAGCACAACGTGTAACTGGTAATGGCAGTAGTTTACTCAGAATTACCATGCATGTAATTTTAATGAACTGATGTGTCGTGTATTTTTCGAGCGTTGCACAATTAATATTCCATTAAATTTAATTCTATTGTAGATTCTTGGCAGTGGGGCAGCGCGAAAGTATGGAGGCAAGCGGGTACTGACGTGTGCTGTATTTCTCTGGTCCCTGTCCACACTTCTAACACCTGTGGTAGCACCATCATTAGTCCTGCTGATTCTCTCACGGACACTGCTGGGATTTGGAGAAGGGTTAGGTAAATATACGGCGAATTAGGCGTTATAGGCAGTGATGGAATATAAACAGTGCAGGTTTGCTAATAGTGTCCGGCTTCATAATTTAATGTGTCAGTTGAATGTTGTGCTTTCTCTACCGAAATTTGATGCCACAAATACCACACTGATGACTGCACTGTTTATGCTCACGGTACCAAATGCGACGTGTAGTTCACGTTCTAATTGGTTTTCATCCACAAATTTGTCCCATTCTGGTCCAGTTATCGGCAAAACCAGTCCCATTGCAATATTTTACGTTATGATATTTTGTGCAATATGATATATGTGCAAGTATAATTTTTCTGTTTTGGGAAGTTTCTTTTGGTTAGGGCAAGGTGGTATGGTTGCTGACATAGCTAATTCAAGCTGTAGGCATGCTGTCGTTGTTTGTGTATTATCGTCATTGTTACTCTGCCTTACCTTTAGCTCAGTTTTGCTTATACCTGCTAAATTCAATTTACTATTTTGTTTTGTTTTCAATTTAGCTGAGAACGACGATTCCGACCATGACGATGATGTCTAGGACCCAGACTATGTGGACATGGGTAGTGAAGATAATGATGATGACAGTGAAAACCCAGACGAGGAAATAGAACCGACAGCCCCAGAACAGATTTCAACATCCCCAGAACAGACTGTAACATCCCCAGAACAGACTGTAACAGCTCCAGAACAGATTGCAATTACAATTACAACGAATGATGGAGTATTGATTTACAATACCGATATCACTGTTGTCACTACAAATAACAACGGTCAACCCAAGTGGGACAAAAAGCATATATGTCTGTATTGCAAGAAACCACAATCAAAATTCGCCAGACATTTGATGACACAACACGCAAATGAAGTGGACGTAATTGATGTCAACAACGAGGAAAATTATGCAAAGAAAAGGGCAAAGTTGGCCAAACTTAGAAACATTGGCAATCACCGCCACAACTGCCAAGTTCTCAGAGATGACAAAGGAGCTCTAATTGTGGGTTACAGACCATCTGTAGCAATAGCGGCCGACCAGTATGCCCCCTGTGAATTCTGTTTTGTGTACCTTGTTAGATCAGATCTGTGGAAACACAAGTGTCCACTAAAACCAACTGAAGCGAACAGTAATGATGGTCCATCCAGGGTAAAGAAGACAATGAGACGACCAGCTGTAACAGGCAAACTCCTTTTACCGTCACCGCCAGGAACAAGTCTACCTGTACACGAGATTTTACAGAGCATGAAATCTGATAATATTTCTCTTGTAGTTCGATGTGACCAACTCCTGATTAGAATTTGGACGAAGGGAGCATATGAAGCTTGGCCATGACAAAGACCAGCACAATGAGATTCGTGCACATGTGAGGCGAATGGGAAGGCTATTCATCAAGCTGAGTGCTACTAGTAAAATGCCAGATGCTTCTCTTTCAGAATTTATCAACCCGTCATACTTTCGATTATTAGTGGAATCTGTCAAGTCGTTGGCAGAGTTTGATGAGGAGAACCAAACGTTTGGCGTCCCGAGTCTTGCTCTTAAACTTAACCAAGGTGTTAAGAAGTGCGCCAAAATTTTGGAAGGGCAGGGCTTAGAAAATGGGGATTCAAGTCTACAGCAACGAG